GCATATTAGCACCGAAGTAGAGTACTTCCTAAACAAAACAATAGTGTTTTCCTAAAATCAACACTTAGGTTATATCAATGTTTAGTCTACGGAGTAGATGACATCAAAGTGGAAGTCCTCACCACAGCAATGGTAATACTACCGGATGTCCATTATGTAATTTCTAGTGTTTGAATGACATATTGTTCTCAATAAAACAAATGTGGAAATAGATAGTTGACTGGTTTTAAATTTAATTATGTTTATTTAGCCACAACTCATTCCTGTTTGTAAAAAGTCATCTGTAATTTCATGTAAAAATACATCGGTTCAATGAAGACTGGGACAAGAAATGAATTAGCAACGTGACAAATGTTGATATTTGGGTCTAAAAAGCAAATTATTGAGTATATCAGCAGTATTGTGTCATTGTTTTATTTTTTAAAGTTTTAAACCAATTTTTTTTATAAAAGCACGAAGAAGTATAAAGTGCTGACTAAGCACCAGCAGAGTTCATGTTTGGGATATAATATTGCTAACGAAGACTTTTTACCTGAAAATTAACATATGTTAGGATCAACTGGGAGGTAAAGTTTCATTAGGCCCCCCGTTTACTTCTGTTTGCATTAAGCCCACGCCCCACAGTGTGTATTTCGGATAAGTTCCACTTTGTCCCTTCTTTTCCTTCTGTGGGATGAGGTAATTTGGCGGCGAGAATTCAGAAAGATTTCCGATACAACCCTCTCTCACACCTTGATCGATACACCCTCACCAACACACCTTGATCGATACATCCCTCTCTCACACCTTGATCGATCCACCCCTCTCCTCCAACCTTTGATCGATCCACCCCTCACCAACACACCTTGATCGATACACCCCTCTCTCACACATCGATCGATACATCCCTCTCACACACCTTGATCGATACACCCCTCTCCTCCACCCTTTGATCGATCCACCCCATCAGCAACACACCTTGATCGATCCACCCCTCTCCTCCACCCTTTGATCGATCCACCCCTCACCAACACACCTTGATCGATACACCCCTCTCTCACACCTTGATCGATACACCCCTCTCTCACACCTTGATCGATACACCCCTCTCCTCCACCCTTTGATCGATCTACCCCTCACCAACACACCTTGATCGATACACCCCTCTCTCACACCTTGATCGATCCACCCCTCTCCTCCATCCTTTGATCGATCCACCCCTCACCAACACACCTTGAAAAAGCAAATGTATTGAGTATATCAGCAGTATTGTGTCATTGTTTTATTTTTTAAAGTTTTAAACCAATTTTTTTTAAAAGCACGAAGAAGTATAAAGTGCTGACTAAGCACCAGCAGAGTTCATGTTTGGGATATAATATTGCTAACGAAGACTTTTCAACTGAAAATTAAACATATGTTAGGATCAACTGGTAGGTAGAGTTTCATTAGGCCCCCCGTTTACTTCTGTTTGCATTAAGCCCACGCCCCACAGTGTGTATTTCGGATAAGTTCCACTTTGTCCCTTCTTTTCCTTCTCTGGGATGAGGTAATTTGGCGGCGAGAATTCAGAAAGATTTCCGATACAACCCTCTCTCACACCTTGATCGATACACCCTCACCAACACACCTTGATCGATACATCCCTCTCTCACACCTTGATCGATCCACCCCTCTCCTCCATCCTTTGATCGATACACCCCGCACAACACACCTTGATTGATACATCCCTCTCTCACACCTTGATCGATCCACCCCTCACTAACACACCTTGATCGATACACCCCTCTCTCACACATCGATCGATACACCCCTCTCCTCCACCCTTTGATCGATCCACCCCATCAGCAACACACCTTGATCGATACATCCCTCTCTCACACATTGATTGATACATCCCTCTCACACACCTTGATCGATCCACCCCTCTCCTCCAACCTTTGATCGATCCACCCCTCACCAACACACCTTGATCGATCCACCCCTCTCTCACACATCGATCGATACATCCCTCTCACACACCTTGATCGATCCACCCCTCTCCTCCACCCTTTGATCGATCCACCCCTCACCAACACACCTTGATCGATACACCCCTCTCTCACACCTTGATCGATACACCCCTCTCTCACACCTTGATCGATCCACCCTCACCAACACACCTTGATCGATACATCCCTCTCTCACACCTTGATCGATCCACCCCTCTCCTCCACCCTTTGATCGATCTACCCCTCACCAACACACCTTGATCGATACACCCCTCTCTCACACCTTGATCGATCCACCCCTCTCCTCCATCCTTTGATCGATCCACCCCTCACCAACACACCTTGATCGATACACCCCTCACCAACACACCTTGATTGATACAACCCTCTCTCACACCTTGATCGATCCACCCCTCTCCTCCACCCTTTGATCGATCTACCCCTCACCAACACACCTTGATCGATACACCCCTCTCTCACACCTTGATCGATCCACCCCTCTCCTCCATCCTTTGATCGATCCACCCCTCACCAACACACCTTGACCGATACACCCCTCACCAACACACCTTGATTGATACATCCCTCTCCCACTCCTTGATCGATCCAACCCTCTCCTCCACCCTTTGATCGATCCACCCCTTACCAACACACCTTGATCGAAACACCCCTCACCAACACACCTTGGTCGATACATCCCTCTCTCACACCTTGGTCGATCCACCCCTCTCCTCCACCCTTTGATCGATCCACCCCTCTCCTCCACCCTTTGATCGATCCACCCCTCACCAACACACCTTGATCGATACACCCCTCTCTCACACCTTGATCAATCCACCCCTCTCCTCCACCCTTTGATCGATCCACCCCTCACCAACACACCTTGATCGAAACACCCCTCGTCAACACACCTTGGTCGATACATCCCTCTCTCACACCTTGGTCGATCCACCCCTCTTCTCCACCCTTTGATCAATCCACCCCTCACCAACACACCTTGGTCGATCCACCCCTCACCAACACACCTTGATCGATACACCCCTCTCTCACACCTTGATCGATCCACCCCCCTCTCACACCTTGATCAATCCACCCCTCACCAACACACCTTGGTCGATCCACCCCTCACCAACACACCTTGATCGATACACCCCTCTCTCACACCTTGATCGATCCACCCCTCTCTCACACCTTGATCGATCCACCCCTCTATCACACCGTGATCGATACACCCCTCTCCTCCACCCTTTGATCGATCCACCCCTCACCAACACACCTTGATCGATATACCCCTCACCAACAGGCCTTGATCGATACACCCCTCTCTCTCACTCACACACACACACACACACACACACACACACACACACACACACACACACAATCTTCCCTCCCATATTTCTCCACCCCTGGTCGCGATCGATCCTCCCCTGCAGTGTCGCTTCCATTCACCCATAGGTGCCGCCTATACCGTATACCATTATGGCCGGTCTTTACTTGTGCGCGTATATCACAGGCGGGTTGGAAGACATTTCATAGTTGCGGGTGGGAGGGGGTGGTAATCCCCTAATGAATAATGTGTTTGTTGTTTAACGCTGCACTCAGCAATATACCAGCTATAAGACGGCGGTCTGTAAATACTTCCAACACCCCTCCTCCGTCCCCAATGCACCCTGGGGACATTTTATATTATTACCGCTGTAAAAGTCGAGTTTAGACCAGACAATTCAGTTATTGATAACGCCTTTTGATTGAATAATATGAATTATGCAAATCTACACTGTCTTTAACATTTCTGATAATAGACAGATCTTATTGACAGATATATTTTTGATAATAAACATGATAAATATCAAAATTAACAAGAATTTATATTTTGTTCTTCACATATGGTGTTCTACTGTGCCTAATTAAATAAGATTATCACAGTTGAAGATCCGGGGTAGAAAGGCCTTCGGCAACCCATGCTTGCCGTAAAAAGCGACTATGCTTGTCGTAAGAGGCGACTAACGGGATCGGGTGGTCAGGCTCGATGACTTGGTTGAAGCATGTCATTGTATCCCAATTGCGGGGGTCGATGCTCATAATGTCAATCACTAGATTGTCAGGTCCAGACTCGATTATTTAAAGACCGCCGTCATATAGCTGGAATATTGCTGGGTGCGGCGTTAAACAACAAACAAACAAATCATAGTTGATGATTAGATCACAGTGTTGAATAAACTGTTTCCTCATCTAAGTTTGTCTCTCTCATCAAGGACATGGGAAATGGCTGAGAGAAGCTGACTGCCATATCTGACCGCTTTTCTGCCATATATGGGTGACAGCTGTTTATAAACTATCTTAGCATATTAGATCGGAGACTTGTTTCTAAATAGCGTATGTTTTATTTGTCTCATTTCAAATTCCATTCCAGTATTTCAATCCAAACTCCATTCCATACTTTACACTACACCCAAATTTACTGAGATCGATACTCATGATGCCAATTACGTATATTGCCTGGCCCATACTCGATTATTTACGCACAGTCGTCATATAACTGGTATATCGCTGAGTGCGGCGTTAAACAACAAACCATTTAACAACTAAACATTTCACGGTGCTTGGCTGTGGTTAATATATATATGCCGTATTGGCCTAAGCTCCTTTCTAGTGACTTACTTTGCATTTAACTTCCTCACAGACAAACAAGACTGGATATTTTATGTGTATCTACTCTGTTCTGCTCTCAACATCAAACCAACGCGAGTGATTCACATTATTGTTAGTGTATGGTTGTATCAATAAAATAACGACGGACCAATGGACATGCAACAGTCCATAAACTATAATCACCTATCTAATGCGCTACGCAACCAGCTCTCGTGACTATATTTGTAGACGGTGTACTAGTTTTTCCCTAGCGGTTAACCGATGGGGATTCCCCATAAGCTTGGCCCCGTCTCTAATATCACAATATTGGCGCAAGTTGGCGACGCGCATAGGGAGCCGGGAACCAGCTTAGATTCCCCAATGCGGGCTATGTTATCTGTGATTTGATTGGCGAGGTTAACCTCAAGCCGAGGATATTGCACAACAACCCTACAATTCTCGCACTTTTGTTTTCTCAGTAGCAGGGAAGGACTTACGCCCGCATAGCTCTTGCCAATCAGTGAGTATTTTGTATGAATATATTGTGAAAATTGCTGTTTTTGTGTTGACATTACACTAAATGTGATGTTGGGTTGATGTCAGCGTCTCAGGGTCTGTTTTGCGAGGTAGAATATTGGCTGGGACTCTAATATTTTCGCTGTCATGTCAGAACCCATTCAGGCCATTGCTGGGACGTTCGATCAGTTTTCAAAGATTGTTCTGGAAACGCCATTCGGATTTAAATGGTCACAGCTTCTATACCTCACCTACAAAACAGCATTGTGGTTGTCATCTTGAACATAAATAGTTTGTAACGATGGCTCGATGTGTAGAAAAAATAAAAAATAGATCGGGACGTAAACAATCGTTAGCGGCCCACCCGAGTGACGTCACATGTCGAGTATCGTGGGATCAATGAGTAGAACAGTCAAGATGAATGCCACATTATGACAAGATTTTTAATTTCTTATGAATGTCAAACAGTTTGAAAGAATACATTATACTGATATTATATATATAAACAAATTGCATGCATGGTTACTGTATAGGCCTAGTATCTGACACCTTGATGGTTAAATAAGTCAGTTTTCTTTACAGACAAAAACACAGTGTCAGCAGTTATTTTATATATACTCTTTGATGTTGACAACAAGAGCAATGAATACATATTTGGTAACCAGTCAGTCGCTTTGAATGGTGTGTTGATAAGTGTGGAAACAAAAATGTAGATTAAATGATAATTTCTTTGAATTCAGGAACCTTTCACATGTTTTGAAATTTCACAATGGCATCTGTTAGCTATCATGCAGTATCTAGGTCTACAGATTTGCTCAGTGTCAGGGCTTAAAATATAAAAGGAAGCTGCTTATCTCGGACTTGTGAAATTCAAAGAGGGCCAGTGACATTTCTTTCTGGACCACGTTTACCATTATGGAAATGGCAGCTCAGTGACAGATATGATAATTATTGCAGTTGTGTCAAAACAGAGCTAATTCCTAACACTGCCAGTGCATTCTAGCTGTGAAATTGCAGCTATCCTAGGCATAGAAATAAATAATGATGTTCATCCCTCACTGAATTTACATTAGATTGTGTATGCAATCCCTGGTTTCATGGCTTGTTATTGTGCCTTTGAGTGCAGAACATCTAAATTGTTTAAATGGCAAAATAAACCTCTTCCAAAACTATTTTCTAGATCTAATAAAACATATTTTCATCAAAAGTTACGTATGTGTAAACATAAGCCAGCTATTTAATATTTTGAGAAGTGAATTTGTTATTCACGAGCGTGACAATAATACAATAATCGATTTACTCCACAATGTAGATACTCTCGTTCCCAGTGACATGTCGACCCATGCAGACCCAGGGTAGAATAGGCCTTCAGCAACCCATGCTTGCCTTAAAAGGCGACTATGCTTGTCATAAGAGACGACTAACGGGACCGGGTGGTCAGGCTCGCCGACTTGGTTGATGCATGTCATTGCGTGGATCGATGCTCGTGATGTCAATCACTGGATTGGCTGGTCCAGACTCGATTTTTTACAGACCGCTGTCATATAGCTGGAATATTGCTGAGTGCGGCGTTAAACCACAAACAAACAAATAAAACAAACAAAACAGTGACATGTCAGGTAATCAGTTGATTTGAAATAGTATAAAACAGTCTGTTGGGTCTTATGGAGGGGAGGGGATTGAGAGAAAAATGTATTGTCCCTGAAAATTCTTGAAAAAGTAGTAATGCTGCATATTGTTAGAAAATGTTAAATTAGTCTGGCACAAAAGTTATTGTGCTTTTAAAAAATAATAATTTTGCTTCCTAGTTTTAATTACAAAAAATCTGGTTTTGTAGTTGTAGCTGAAAAAATCACTGGTCTCAATACAACATCACTGGTCTCAATACAACATCACTGGTCTCAATACAACATCACTGGTCTCAATACAACATCACTGGTCTCAATACAACATCACTGGTCTCAATACAAAATCCCAGTCCTTAACGCCCTTGCAGTAAATTTACAAGTCAAGTTATTTGTCACGATATGCTGCATTTAAGAATTGACCTTCACTTTGTGTGAGTTCATTAGAGGATGAACCTTCATAGAGTGAGGGCCAAACTGTATGAACGTCAGAGCTTGCTGGAGACGGTCAATGTCAGCCTAGACACGGATCGAGTCGATACGATAGTTTAGATGTGCATTTCTTCGTTTGTTCATTAGGATAGGCCGCAGCAAGGATATTCGTGGACAATCATGCAGTCACGCTCTCTGACATTTCTCAATGTATACTGAAACGCTGAGACCAAGAATAAAGGTTCTAAATGATCAGAAAGAACGCTTATGTATGTTTTCGTGCGAGGGAATTCCCAGGGGTTTCCCCAGGAATGTGGAAGTAGTTTGCAGTGTTTACGTCATTTCAAGAACACGGTCTCGTGAAAAACGTATGAACGTCAAATTGTGTCGTTCATACACTTATGAACGTCAATTTCCGGGTCATGTGACCGACCTCTCATCCAATGGAAAAGCTGTATATCGTCTAAACTTCAAATTAAAAAATTATTTCTTTTTTTAATGAGGGCTTGAGGAGTTTACTCGGGTGCTTCAGTTTCTGAAATCGGTGGGTCTAAATGACAGCCTGGCAACTTTTTTTAATTTCAATCACTGGACGGTTCACTCAATCATATTCATATGTAGTTTATAAAGATACTTCATTGAGTAATAATACATCCTAATCTAAATCTGTGATTATTTTTAAAATGCCATCATATGGTTAACAGAGCATTACCCTCTTGTTTATGCCAGATTCTTGCATAATACAATTTTCGTTCCCAAAGTATGATATTTATGATACTGAAACACACAGTTTGTAATCTCTGTTTTCATATTATGCTTCAAATATGATCAAATATTTTTTTTTTCTGTTTCAGCAGTTTCAGATAACAAAAAACAACTGTACACTAACCAAATGCAAAAGACAGGCCAGTAAAAATGTCACCTGTAAAAACACTCATTGGTAAGAGCCAGAATTACCTCCCTTTATGTTGTTGTGAGGGAATGAGTAGGTTTATGTTGTTTGTTTGTTTGTTTTTTAACGCCGCACTCAGCACTATTCCAGCTATTTGATTGCGGTCTGTAAATAATCGAGCCATTGTAACATTGTGAGACTGATATCAGCCAGTGCACCAGTGTGTGTAACAGGGCGCACCTTTGGTGCAGCCTTAGTGCTTCTGGGTGTGTTGGACAGTTGACTCACGCGCGTTTGTGGCTTGCGTTCCCCGGATGTAATGGTCAGCGCTGTGTACAGGAGAACTGATACATTTGGTTGGTTGGTTTCTTGTTTAACGCCGCACTCAGCAATATTCCAGCTATTTGATGGCGGTCTGTTAATAATCGAGTCTGGACCAGACAATCCAGTGATTGATATCATGAGCATCTATCCACGGAACTGGGATACGATGACATGCATCAAACCAAGTCAGCGAGTCTGACCACCCGATCCCGTTAGTCGCCTCTTATGACAAGCATAGTCGCCTTTTACGACAAGCATGGGTTGCTGAAGACCTATGAGTAGGTTTATGTCATGCTGCTTAGGACAGTATTGCAGTTTTGTCACATTCTGTCACCTTGATGTGAGAGGGAAGCACAAAGTTTACCATGGTGAATTGTATGACAAACCTAGAAACCAATTTAGGACGATTGTGGGATTGGAACCAACAATCATAGGTTTGCCGCATATGCTGTTCTCCAGAGACAGAGCACAATTTATGGAACTTGGACCCATGAAGATCCAGGTTAAAATAGGTCTTCAGCATTCCATGCTTGTCGTAAAAGGCGACTTTGCTTGTCGTAATAGGCGACCAACGGGGTCGGGTGGTCAGGCTCGCTGACTTGGTTGAGGCATGTCATTGTGGATCGATGCTTATGATGTCAATCACTGGATTGTCTGGTCTAGATCAAACATTTACAGGCCGCCGTCCTATATCTGAAATATTGTGGACATGTAAGGGTTAGTCGACACAAATTTTGATTATTTGGACATGCACTCGGCGCAAGTAGACATAAATATTAGTTTGAATTTTCAATAACAGGTTGCACTGGTGCATGTTTTATAGCTCTAAATCGAGCCCGCATATTCCAGTATCCTGTCTCACAACTGTGAGAGTTCGCGAAGAGAGTGTACTAGGGAGACTGACTGAGTACTTTTGTATTAATTCACAATGTCAAGAAACATGATTGTTCCAAATGAAATTTCCAGAATAGAATACACAAAAACTCTGGCAAACACAATTATTTTGTTCCAATTAATTGTGTGTGTGCCAAAGGTTTTTCAATAAGAATGTTCGGTATGCACTGGTAGTCCCACAGAAACTGAATCACCATGTCATTGGATAGTACTTTCCAAATCTTTTCCAGTATTCTTTTATGTCTATATTCTAAAATATTAAGCTGAAATGTGGAAGCAGCGTTTGACCAGCATTGTTTGACTTTGATGTTATTGTGTGTATTTCAGGCTGCTTAGCAGTAATGGGGGCCGTTCAGGCCAAGGAAGGGAACGGAGGACCCCCACCAGACCCACCTCCAGATGGACAAGGTATACTTCAAATACCACCTCAAGAAAGTCAGAGCTCTGAGCAAGATGTTGGAACCCAAACACAACAACTGCAACCTAAGCGACTGTCGCTCTTCAAACAGCATCAGCAGCAACAAAGAAACCATCAACAACATGGGTTGCGGCGGGTGAAAACTATGGGTGAGTGTTTGTTGCTTCGTATCTTGTTGATGAAACCGTCTTGGACAACTAAGGTGAGGTGAGGTAAAATGGGGTTTAACGTTGCGTCCAAGATTATTGCACTTACATAGCGACGTGTGTTTGTGTGGCTGCTTGTACTAGTCCGGACTGATGCCGATTTATAGTGCTAGCCCACTGAGATACCATGCCACAGTTTAACATGAATACCCCACTCAGACACAGTATACTAACTCCGAGCCGACCAGTCCTTGTTTTAGCCCCTTAATGCCGAGCGCCAGACAGGGTAACAACAAGTAACATGTTTTAACGTCTTTATGTATGACGTGGCCGGGGATCGAACCCCGGACCTTCCGCTCTCTGGGCGGACGCTCTACAACTAGACCACTGAGGCGGTTAGACAACTGAGGGGTCTTGGTGAGAAATTATGGTATCACAAGGGTTTACGATGGGGGTCCCAGGGTGCCCTACCAACAGAAAACGAAATACAAAGTATGTGTGATGTGATTCCCTATGCTTATTATGGAGTATTTTATTTTTGTTAGCTCACCTTGATATTGTCGGTGTGAGCTTATGCAGTGGTCATTGCCCATCACTAGAACTTAAATCTCATCTTCTGTAAATCTTCTGTACATATAGTACACCGATATCATTATCACATGAGGCCACACTTTTTAATAATTCTGAATATGCTTCTCAGGGCTCGACTTATATATATAAAACATGCACAAGTGCAACCTATTATCGAAAAAAGCAACCTAATATTTATGTCTGCATGCACCACAGCCATGTTCAAAGAATTCAACGCTTACTTGTCCAATCTATATTTGGTCACCCTCAATACCTCTAAAGTATATTTACCCAACTACAGAGCTCGAGATAAGCTGCATATTTGTGTAATATATGCATTAAATAAACTACTCAGACAAATAAAATCCTTAAAAGAACTAAAAATACGCTAATGATAAAATTAATGCATATATTACAACTTTTTGATAAAACAATTACGTATACAACTGTTCGATAAAATGATTGTGTATCAGCTGATCGCCAAATTCACTTGCCAACAGTTACATTTGGAAAAGCTTGTGCAACAACCATACAGATCGTTCCTCGTCAATGTACATGTTGTATCTCAAACAGATGCTGATTTATGAGACCTGGGCCCCGTTCCACAAAGCAATCTTAGCACTAAGGTGATCGTAAGTCCCATACTCTAACATAGCTTTACGATCATCGTAGCGCTAAGATTGCTTTGAGGAACGGGGCCCAGGGTGCAACCTGGTCTGGGTTGGTTTAACATGGTTTTCATGTCAACATCCACCTGGTGCAAGTGAAATCAAGTTCCTTAACTCGAGCCCCGTGACATTGTAGACTGTTGACATATTTACTGTCTAGACATTGTAGACTGTTGACATATTTACTGTCTAGACATTGTAGACTGTTGACATATTTACCGTCCAGACATTGTAGACTGTTGACATATTTACCGTCCAGACATTGTAGACTGTTGACATATTTACTGTCTAGACATTGTAGACTGTTGACATATTTACTGTCTAGACATTGTAGACTGTTGACATATTTACTGTCTAGACATTGTAGACTGTTGACATATTTTCCGTCCAGACATTGTAGTCTGTTGACATATTTACTGTCTAGACATTGTAGACTGTTGACATATTTACTGTCCAGACATTGTAGACTGTTGACATATTTACCGTCCAGACATTGTAGACTGTTGACATATTTACTGTCTAGACATTGTAGACTGTTGACATATTTATCGTCTAGACATTGTAGACTGTTGACATATTTACTGTCTAGACATTGTAGTCTGTTGACATATTTACCGTCTAGACATTGTAGACTGTTGACATATTTACCGTCTAGACATTGTAGACTGTTGACATATTTACCGTCTAGACATTGTAGACTGTTGTCTGTCTCATCAAGACATTATAGACTGTGATATAAACCCAAATAGGCACTGCAGACAGTTGTGATATATACCACGGGTATGGTGCTTATAAACCCAGAAACATAATCGGGGCAAACCGGGATTTGAACCCTCAATTATAGGTTTCTGGCATCCACAAGGGATGCAACTCCGAGACCGTGGCTAGCTGTGCCTACTGGTCAGTAAACGTAAAGGAACATATAACATGATGACTTAAGTGACATTCCACTGCAGTAGCTAAAATGTATCTTTATTTTTACAGACGACAGTCAAGCCATGTTTGACATACGTGTGAAGTTCATCTGGAAGAAGTATGAAGGTCTTCAACACGATCCTCTTAGGTTCCAACTTCTTCACACACACAAAGAATCGACAGAACAAGTGAAGTTGATCCAGCAGAAGAATGAAGCTCTTCAAGCAGATCAATTCATATTCCAACGTCTTGCGAATGAAATTGCAGCTGCAGAACAAGTGAAGTTGATCCAGCAGAAGAATGAAGCTCTTCAACCAGATCAACTCAACTATTTGACTCAATTAAAGCTTGCAAGTGTTTCTGTGATCCTGATTGCGCTGACGTCTGTCCTGATTCAGAAGATGCTGTCCCCAGGCCAACAATCTAATCAGAGGACCATACAGATACTACAAACTAAGTCCATAGAGACTGAGTCACGAGACGAAGCTCAACGAACAGAACAACGTCAACCACAACGACAAAGACAACATCTACAGAGAGCCCGACCTCAAAGAAGCACCTGCTATGATACCAAGATACCTGTCAGTGCGGTTCCTTGGGGCCAGAGTGTGGACATCCTGAAGACACAAGGCATCCAGGCCAGAACAGCACAGCTACTATCCGGCATCATAACACAGCTTCAAGCAGCAGCAACAGAGAGTGCCACAACTGCTTGTAAGCACCGACTCCTTGACACATGTGCAGGTGGCCTTCGGGCTGCGGCACTGTGCTAAGTGTCTCAACCACCAAAACAACATTTATGAAATATTGTTGACAGTTTTACCTTGCCCTATTATCAGTAACCTCAAATGTAAATTTGTTGTTTCATTTGTAAGTTATCCATGAAATATCCCTTTCAGTTTTATTTGAAAGCATTTTGACCAAAGTAAGAACACAAGTTCATTTTGAGAAAATTGATTTGTGGTTATCTCCTTTATTGAAAATTAACAAATTTCACAATTCTGTACATGAATATGTTTTTCTTGATTTTATAGGGCAACAATACACAACAAAAATGTTTTGAAATACTTGATGTGATGTAAGATCTATTGATTTTGTATCCCTAAATATTTAAGAGCATTGGTCTGTGTTTAATTGACATATAAAATCATTGGAAATATTTTCAAATATTTGTAAGCCTTCCATCGATCCCATATTTTGCAGCATTGTTAAAACTGTCATCATTGTTTCAAGACCTCTCTGTAATCAGTGTTCGTTACATTTCATTGACAAACGAGAAAATATCAGTCCTTGACTGATCCTATCCCTCCATTCTATAGCTTTCATTGTCACCAACTTTCGTCGGACATTGATTACAAAGGAATAGCGTTCAAACTGTTGATATTGTATTCTATTTTCTCATGTAAATATATTTGATATGTACATATATGATATTCCTTGACAGCTGCCATCATCTTACGAATACTCTTCTTTATGGAATAATAGCCAACAATGTTTTAACTGATAGTTGAAAAATATTATGTTGAGATATGTTGATACTTTTTCAACATTATATATAATAGGAGTGAAACAAATATTTTTGGTACATTTATCTCAGATTACAAAGTAGACACAATTCATGGGTAACAACTTCTTTAATATGTGGAATAGCGTTAGAAGTTGTTATCCATAAATTGTGTCTAATTTGTCATGTGTCAAACAGGTCATACAGCTCAGCTTCTCAAATGTTCGTAGGGGAACTGTAATCGTGCTGGTCTTGTATTTGAAAAAGGGAGCCTCTTTAGTTTAAATAATGAATTTTACACACATGTAGCAAGTTTGTGAAATGTAGTGAAATTTATTATCTTAAAGTTAAGACTGAAACATTTGTTGTCGGTAATAAGTATTCATTGCTCCTTCTGTGCTTCCTCTGATGAGAGCTCGCACTAGACACAAAAATACCTGTGTCTCAAAGAAGCTTGAAACATTGCTTAAAATTGACTTCGTTCAGGATTACATCTGAACAGTTTATAGAGGATGAGCAGAGACCGTGGGATCCCTATTTCTAACATCTTTAAGTTATTTATCTGGGCAGCGGATCAGCTCTGTCACCAACTACTTCCATCATGGCTGCTGTTGTGGTCAGTTGACCAGTGTTGAGCCCTTTTTAGCCAGTACAAGAGTAATTTATTCGGGCTAGATGACCAATTTTCAAGAGTGAGAAATTATCTCGCTTCTTAAATACCTTTGTGTATGTTGACATGTGTGTCACATGTAGCATCCGGTAATGATCAGAAACAGAAATTTTACAGTTTTGATTCACTTAAATGACCAGACAGGTTATTAGGATTGTCATTTGGATGGTGGTGTTTTCAGAGTTTGGATATTTCAACAAGGGGTATCCACTATCATACAGCTCAAGGGTTACAGTGGTGGTTTATCTGTGTGAAGTCCAGTGCAAGAATATCACCTGTCCTGACTGTGTAGTGCCTGCCTGAAGGGATGAACTCTTTCTGTTCCCCCTGCCTTCAGCTGACACCTGGTGTGTGTACAAAAGGCTTTGGCTGGGCCATTTCTCCCTTTTGTTGTCAGGGTGCCAAAGACTTTGGTCTATCCCTGGATTAGGGTGCAAAGGCTTTGGTGTAGCCCTGTATCTGGGTGCCAATGGCTTTGATCTGGCCCATGGGTCAGGGTGCCAATGGCTTTGGTCTGGTCACTGGGTCAGGGTGCCAATGGCTTTGATCTGGCCCATGGGTCAGGGTGCCAATGGCTTTGGTCTGGTCACTGGGTCAGGGTGCCAATGGCTTTGGTCTGGTCACTGGGTCAGGGTGCCAATGGCTTTGGTCTGGTCCATGGGTCAGGGTGCCAATGGCTTTGGTCTGGTCCATGGGTCAGGGTGCCAATGGCTTTGGTCTGGTCACTGGGTCAGGGTGCCAATGGCGTTGGTCTGGTCCATGGGTCAGGGTGCCAATGGCTTTGATCTGGTCCATGGGTCAGGGTGCCAATGGCTTTGGTCTGGTCACTGGGTCAGGGTGCCAATGGCTTTGGTCTAGCCCTAGGTCAGAGTGCCAAAGGCTTTGGGCTAGCTCTCGGTCAAGGCACTAAAGGTTTTAATCTGGTGCTCGATCAGGGCTTTGGTCTGGTTTCTGGGTCAGATCCCAAAGGCATTGGTCTGGTCTGTGGGTCAGTGTGCCAAAGGCATTGTTGGGAGTCATGTGACCAGATGCTATTGCCAGGCAGGTAGTGACACTTTAAAGGTTCATTTGATGGTGGATACCCCTTGTTATTTGAGTTCAAATTGTAGAGTCCAAGGAGAGGGAGTATGTCACTGAGTTTAAAATTATAAGGAAACAAGTACAGGTGTCAGTTGAATATTGTCTTGAATAAGTAAAATTGATCAGAGGTTTAGTATGATTTGAGGACATGTAAGATACTTAATTTGAGAGTATGTTGTTTAGCGCCGCAATATGACGGCGGTTAAATATATTGGCTACAATATTGGTAACATTTATTCCGTGGAAGTGGGTTTGTTTGCTAGTGTATGACAACTAGGTATAAGTGGAGAAGTAGAAATAGGGATCCCAACAACTCTGTTCCTGCAATGTAAGGTCACAGACCGGCACGATATTGAGAATTCGATTTCCCCATGCGACATTATTGAAGCTGAGCTATACAAGAGTATTTATCGTGTTTTGCAAATCAGTAAGCTACACTGACGGCAGCTGTCAAGGAATACGACATTGAACGCTATATCCTTCAGAGGATACATTCATAATACATTTCTGCATACTGTACTTGCCATTATCCCAATATGAGCAGTCTGAAAAAGACGGACTGGCTACGCCATTTGTACCTTGAAGGGACGAAGTGGGAAAAAGCTCTCCCTGGTAAAGTACCATGGCACACATTCAATGAAGTCAAAGACCCAAATAATGGGTCAAAACTCACTGTTGGGGATATTGAAAAGCATCTCCCCAAAATGCTTCGCCATTGCATTGACAATAGTCTGGTTCCTTATGAATATATTCCAGAGGTAAAAAAATTCATGGCTTACATTGGAAAAGATGAGAAATTTGATACTAGGAGTATTTCAAAATATGTACAAAAGAGAAAGATGGCTATGGACATTACTGTTTTTGTCAAAAGATTTTTAGAAATGTCAGATCGTGAAAAGGCAACAATGACAAGAAAGATTGAGAGCCAAGATTGTCACTGTATTTTGGATGGAGTACAGAAACTAAGGACCATGACTGATAAGGGGAGGTCCCCTGAATACAAAGCAGAGGAATGTGAGGAGAAGTCGAAGACATTTAAGCTCATCGACTGGCTGAGACACATATACCTCTGCTGCCAGAAGTGGCTTAACGACTGTAAAGGACAGGTGCAGTGGGAGAAGTTGAAGGTGAAGGACCCTAACAACAGCAAGCAGGGGTCGCGGATGAAGATGGAAGAGTTGAAGGAGTCACTGAAGATTTTAGCAGGACAGTGCCTTCAGCTCGGAGTTGTGCCTCAGATCTACCAGGAAGAGGTGATGGAGGCACGGAGAATCTTAGAAGAAAACCTGGTGTTTGATACGAAGAAGTTGGATCAGGAGGAGAAGCTGAGAAAGATTGCTGTCATGGCTGTGGAGGTCCTGAAGGGTATGGAGGACCGAGGTGAAGAGGTGATCGGGACAATAGACCCAGCTAATCTGCCCATGATACGTAAAGGGTTACAAGAACTGGAAGTGAATCTGGAGGAACAGTTTGTTGTTGACCGTGCAGAGGTGGAAGAAGAACCTGCTGAGAAGGAAATGCATAATGAGATGGAAGATGAGTTTCCCGAAGACATATTTAACACAAATGAAGTGGATGGAACGGATATTTTAGAGAGTATTCTTGATAAACAGAATCCTAGTACTTTAGTAGCATCAGATGAGGTGGACTTTTTGGCTTCAGACCCAATATTTGAACCACTAGAAGAACCTGGCTCCGTACCATCTCTATGTTACGTCAGTGACTTTTCAGAAGCTTCCCCAGTTCCATCACCTGAAAAATATGTGGATGGTCACGTGTCAGATGACTCGGGTATTCACTCTCCAATGTCTGGCACACAAGATGACAGTGATTCTGAAGATGAAGATCTTACTGCTTTCGTGAATGACTTTATCGATTTGGAAGAAGACACTGAGGATATTGATATTGAGGACTTGGAATTGCCAGACACCAGACTCTATCTTCCAGACATGGGAAAGCGATGCTTGAAGCGCAAGGTTTCAGATAATATAGATGAGCCTGTCATGAAGAAAAGAAGACCTTGAAAGGTTGAAAAAGGTTGATAACTTGATTATGAATTATCTGTTGATTTAACAGTCCTTGCTAACTTGCAACAGTGAAGAGAGTTGAGACCAACATGATCCAACCATACCACGAACAGGAAGCCCAGCAGCTACAAAGGTGAACAGAGAGAGAAGACCCAGCACCTACCAAGGTGAACAGAGAGAGGAGACCCAGCACCTACCAAGGTGAACAGAGAGAGAAGACCCAGCACCTACCAAGGTGAACAGAGATAGGAGACCCAGCACCTACCAAGGTGAACAGAGAGAGGAGACCCAGCACCTACCAAGATGAACACAGATGGCTGAAGCATCAAGCCATGACATCCCAAATCCACAGAAGGATGACACAGCCACAGGCTAATCAAGGCGAGGCACCTGTCAAGGGACACAACTCTTGCCCTGGAAACACAGAGCAACTTCGGAATCCCACCCCAGACAACAATAAGAACAATTCTTGTTCTCACATACCGGACTTGACACTGTCATTGGTAGTATCCACTTGACAAATAAAACCCCGAACATGACAGGCAGTACAGTACAGTATGCTCCTTGGTGATGACATCCAGTAGGATCTTCACTAAGTGTACATAGTTTCTCTTTTGAATTTTTTATTATATGCTAGACTTTGAGATGTGTGTTTGTTAGATGTTGTTAACATATACTTCATGCCTTTCATCTATGTGCTTGTTTATTGGATCAAGGGTAGCGGGGTAGTCTACAGTGTCACCATAGTCAGACTGTAGCTCATATCTCCACATGGTAACAAATTTTCAAACTCATTGACACACTCCCTGCTGTGTTGTGCTGTAAGTATGGGAACATACTTTTTTATATTGGAAAAAAGTTAATATGTACTTAATAACATTGATTTTGGATTGCATATTCTGGATCAACATACTGCAGCACAATCACTGATATGTTCAAACTTCATGAAAATTAAACCAGTTTGAATTGCATGAAACACGAGTTATTAATTCAGTGTGGTTTTCCTTGTGGTCATTACGGTATAAATTTTAAAATAAGTATTTTTCAGTTATTTCAATTTGCGTATAGGAAAACAAAAAATTGACACCATGAACAGTTTCCATAAAGTTTTATACAGGTATGTGAATGATTAGGTATATATTGAATTGTACATATTGTGGAATGCACATATCATATTCATTCATACATTTTCAGTTTCATCCTCATCAACTTTGATTAAAGTTTTTACGTTGCAGTTTCATTCGAGTACACTATGACATGAAATTGAATTAAAGTATTTATTTTTTGGATTTATGTTGTTTTATGCAATGTTACACCAATTATTTCTCAAAAGTATTTTTTCAGATGAACCGTTAAATAGTGTTGAACATCACCATGCATTAATCGTAACAGGTTTGAATATTTTCATTTTCATATTAACATGTCAACTGTCATCTAATTTATGTAGATGTCATAGAATGATGAATAAATACTTAACTGTACATACTGAATTTGTTTTCATTTTTAAACATTGTTATCTCTTATGAATCATGGTGAATTGTTTTATTCTTTCTTTCTTTGTTGTTTAAAGCCACACTCCGCAATATTCCAGCTGTATGACGGCAGTCAGTAAATAATCGAGTCTGGACCAGACAATCCAATGATTGACATCATGAGTATTGATCCATGCTATTGGGACCAATGAGAAGATCCCATTAGTCGCCTTTTAGGGCAAGCATGGGTTGCTGAAGACCTACTCTTACCCGGACCATCACGGGTCGATTTGTTTTATTCAGTATGTCAGCTGGTGTGTATGGACAGCTACACTCATGGTGAATCTGGAGTAGAATAAATCCCAAGTCACCTATGATTGTTTGTGGCTGTGTGGCTGAAATTATGCTGATGTGATCTTAAATATTAACTCGCTCACTCCATATGCTTGTCATTGGAGACTACCAAATGGATCACGATCCGATAGAGTGGGTCCTTGCTCATAAGATCAACCACTGGATTGTCCGGATATATGGAATAATGCATCAAACAACAAACAAACACTGGTCCTTCTGTACAAGGGAGTGGTAATACTTCTTGATTTTCATAATTGAATTTGGTGTGAAGGTGGATCTTCATGGGGGACAAGCACAGGTTGCTGAAGACCAGTTCTAGGCCCGATCTTCATGGGGCACAAGCACAGGTTGCTGAAGACCAGTTCTAGCCCCTATCTTCACGGGGGACAAGCATGGGTTCCTGAAGACCAGTTTGAGCCCCGATCTTTACGGGGACAAGCATGGGTTCCTGAAGACCAGTTCGAGCCCCGATCTTTACGGGGGACAAGCATGGATTCCTGAAGACCAGTTCGAGCCCCGATCTTTACGGGGACAAGCATGGGTTCCTGAAGACCAGTTCTAGCCCCGATCTTTACGGGGGACAAGCATGGGTTCCTGAAGACCAGTTCTAGCCCCGATCTTTACGGGGGACAAGCATGGGTTCCTGAAGACCAATTCTAACCCGATCTTCACCTTAATAGGCATTCTGTCCACAAACTCACTGATTCACCCATGGTACGCATTCTGTCAACCACCTTACAGATACACCCGTAGTAGGCATTCTGACCACCCCCTTACTGATACACCCGTAGTAGGCATTCTGTCCATCGCCTTACTGATACACCTGTAGTAGGTATTCTGTCCACCACCTTACTTATACACCCATTGTACGCATTATGTTCGACACCTAATTATATACACCAATAGTAGGCATTCTGTCGACCACCTTACTGATACACCCGTAGTAGGCATTCTGTCCACCACCTTACTGATACACCCGTAGTAGGCATTCTCTCCACCGCCTTACTGATAAACCCGTAGTAGGCATTCTGTCCACAACCTGAATGATACACCCGTAGTAGGCATTCTGTCCACCACTTTACCGATACACCCGTAATGGGCATTCTGTACACCACCTTACTGATACCCCCGTAGTAGGCATTATGTCCACCACCTTACTGATACACCCGTAGTAGGCATTCTGTCCACCACCTTACCGATACACCAATAGTAGGAATTCTGTCAACCACCTTACTTATACACCAATGGTAGGCATTCTGTCCACAAACTCACTGATTCACCCATTGTACGCATTATGTTCGACACCTAATTTATACACCCATAGTAGGCATTCTGTCCACCGCCTTACTGATACACCCGTAGTAGGCATTCTGACCACCACCTTACTGATACACCCGTAGCAGGCATTCTGTCCACCACCTTACTGATACACCCGTAGTAGGCATTCTGTCCACCACCTTACCGATACACCCGTAGTGGGCATTCTGTCACCCACCTTACTGATACACCCGTAGTAGGCATTTTGTCCACCACCTTACCTATACACCCATAGTAGGCATTCTGTCCACCACCTTACTGATACCCCCTTAGTAGGCATTATGTCCACCACCTTACTGATACACCCGTAGTAGGCATTCTGTCCACCACCTTACCGATACACCAATAGTAGGAATTCTGTCCACCACCTTACTTATACACCAATGGTAGGCATTCTGTCCACAAACTCACTGATTCACCCATTGTACGCATTATGTTCGACACCTAATTTATACACCCATAGTAGGCATTCTGTCCACCACCTTACTGATACACTCGTAGTAGGCATTCTGTCTATCACCTTACTGATACACCAATAGTAGGCATTCTGTCCACCACCTTACTGATACACCCGTAGTAGGCATTCTGACCACCACCTTACTGATACACCCGTAGTAGGAATTCTGACCACCACCTTACTGCTACACCCATAGTAGGCATTCTGTCCACCGCCTTACTGATACACCCGTCGTAGGCATTCTGTCCACCGCCTTACTGATACACCCGTAGTAGGCATTCTGTCCACTGCCTTACTGATACACCCGTAGTAGGCATTCTGACCAACACCTTACTGATACACCCGTAGTAGGAATTCTGACCACCACCTTACTGCTACACCCGTAGTAGGCATTCTGTCCACCGCCTTTCTGATACACCCGTCGTAGGCATTCTGTCCACCACCTTACTGCTACACCCGTAGTAGGCATTCTGTCCACTGCCTTACTGATACACCCGTAGTAGGCATTCTGACCAACACCTTACTGATACACCCGTAGTAGGCATTCTGTCCACAACCTTACTGATACACCCGTAGTAGGCATTCTGTCCACCACCTTACCGATACACCCGTAGTGGGCATTCTGTCACCCACCTTACTGATACACCCGTAGTAGGCATTCTGTCCACCACCTTACTTATACACCCGCAGTAGGCATTCTGTCCACCACCTTACTGATAACCCCGTAGTAAGCATTATGTCCACCACCTTACTGATACACCCGTAGTAGGCTTTCTGTCCACCACCTTACTGATACACCAATAGTAGGAATTCTGTCCACAACCCTTACTTATACACCCATGGTTGGCATTCTGTCCACAAACTCACTGATTCACCCATGGTACGCATTATGTTCGACACCTAATGTATACACCCATAGTAGGCATTCTGTCCACCACCTTACTGATACACCCGTAGTAGGCATTCTGTCCACCACCTTTCTGATACACCCGTAGTAGGCATTCTGTCCACCACCTTACTGATACACCCGTAGTAGGCACTCTGTCCACCACCTTACTGATACACCCGTAGTAGGCATTCTGTCCATCACCTTACTGATACACCCGTAGTGGGCATTCTGTCCACCGCCTTGCTGATACACCCGTAGTAGGCATTCTGTCCACCGCCTTACTGATACACCCGTAGTAGGCATTCTGTCCACCACCTTACTTATACACCCATTGTACGCATTATGTTCGACACCTAATTTATACACCCATAGTAGGCATTCTGTCCACCACCTTACTGATACACCCGTAGTAGGCATTCTGTCCACCGTCTTGCTGATACAACCATAGTAGGCATTCTGTCCACCGCCTTACTGATACACCCGTAGTAGGCATTCTGTCCACCACCTTACTGATACACCCGTAGTGGGCATTCTGTCCACCACCTTACTGATACACCCGTAGTAGGCATTCTGTCTATCACCTTACTGATACACCCGTAGTAGGCATTCTGTCCACCACCTTACTGATACACCCGTAGTAGGCATTCTGTCCACCACCTTACTTATACACCCATTGTACGCATTATGTTCGACACCTAATTTATACACCCGTAGTAGGCATTCTGTCCACCACCTTACTGATACACCCGTAGTAGGCATTCTGTCCACCACCTTACTGATACACCCGTAGTAGGCATTCTGTCCACCACCTTACTGATACACCCGTAGTAGGCATTCTCTCCACCGCCTTACTGATAAACCCGTAGTAGGCATTCTGTCCACAACCTGAATGATACACCCGTAGTAGGCATTCTGTCCACCACTTTACCGATACACCCGTAATGGGCATTCTGTACACCACCTTACTGATACCCCCGTAGTAGGCATTATGTCCACCACCTTACTGATACACCCGTAGTAGGCATTCTGTCCACCACCTTACCGATACACCAATAGTAGGAATTCTGTCCACCACCTTACTTATACACCAATGGTAGGCATTCTGTCCACAAACTCACTGATTCACCCATTGTACGCATTATGTTCGACACCTTATTTATACACCCATAGTAGGCATTCTGTCCACCGCCTTACTGATACACCCGTAGTAGGCATTCTGACCACCACCTTACTGATACACCCGTAGCAGGCATTCTGTCCACCACCTTACTGATACACCCGTAGTAGGCATTCTGTCCACCACCTTACCGATACACCCGTAGTGGGCATTCTGTCACCCACCTTACTGATACACCCGTAGTAGGCATTTTGTCCACCACCTTACCTATACACCCATAGTAGGCATTCTGTCCACCACCTTACTGATACCCCCTTAGTAGGCATTATGTCCACCACCTTACTGATACACCCGTAGTAGGCATTCTGTCCACCACCTTACCGATACACCAATAGTAGGAATTCTGTCCACCACCTTACTTATACACCAATGGTAGGCATTCTGTCCACAAACTCACTGATTCACCCATTGTACGCATTATGTTCGACACCTAATTTATACACCCATAGTAGGCATTCTGTCCACCACCTTACTGATACACTCGTAGTAGGCATTCTGTCTATCACCTTACTGATACACCAATAGTAGGCATTCTGTCCACCACCTTACTGATACACCCGTAGTAGGCATTCTGACCACCACCTTACTGATACACCCGTAGTAGGAATTCTGACCACCACCTTACTGCTACACCCATAGTAGGCATTCTGTCCACCGCCTTACTGATACACCCGTCGTAGGCATTCTGTCCACCGCCTTACTGATACACCCGTAGTAGGCATTCTGTCCACTGCCTTACTGATACACCCGTAGTAGGCATTTTGACCAACACCTTACTGATACACCCGTAGTAGGAATTCTGACCACCACCTTACTGCTACACCCGTAGTAGGCATTCTGTCCACCGCCTTACTGATACACCCGTCGTAGGCATTCTGTCCACCACCTTACTGCTACACCCGTAGTAGGCATTCTGTCCACTGCCTTACTGATACACCCGTAGTAGGCATTCTGACCAACACCTTACTGATACACCCGTAGTAGGCATTCTGTCCACAACCTTACTGATACACCCGTAGTAGGCATTCTGTCCACCACCTTACCGATACACCCGTAGTGGGCATTCTGTCACCCACCTTACTGATACACCCGTAGTAGGCATTCTGTCCACCACCTTACTTATACACCCGTAGTAGGCATTCTGTCCACCACCTTACTGATAACCCCGTAGTAAGCATTATGTCCACCACCTTACTGATACACCCGTAGTAGGCTTTCTGTCCACCACCTTACTGATACACCAATAGTAGGAATTCTGTCCACAACCCTTACTTATACACCCATGGTTGGCATTCTGTCCACAAACTCACTGATTCACCCATGGTACGCATTATGTTCGACACCTAATGTATACACCCATAGTAGGCATTCTGTCCACCACCTTACTGATACACCCGTAGTAGGCATTCTGTCCACCACCTTTCTGATACACCCGTAGTAGGCATTCTGTCCACCACCTTACTGATACACCCGTAGTAGGCACTCTGTCCACCACCTTACTGATACACCCGTAGTAGGCATTCTGTCCATCACCTTACTGATACACCCGTAGTGGGCATTCTGTCCACCGCCTTGCTGATACACCCGTAGTAGGCATTCTGTCCACCACCTTACTGATACACCCGTAGTAGGCATTCTGTCCACCGCCTTACTGATACACCCGTAGTAGGCATTCTGTCCACCACCTTACTTATACACCCATTGTACGCATTATGTTCGACACCTAATTTATACACCCATAGTAGGCATTCTGTCCACCACCTTACTGATACACCCGTAGTAGGCATTCTGTCCACCGTCTTGCTGATACAACCATAGTAGGCATTCTGTCCACCGCCTTACTGATACACCCGTAGTAGGCATTCTGTCCACCACCTTACTGATACATCCGTAGTGGGCATTCTGTCCACCACCTTACTGATACACCCGTAGTAGGCATTCTGTCTATCACCTTACTGATACACCCGTAGTAGGCATTCTGTCCACCACCTTACTGATACACCCGTAGTAGGCATTCTGTCCACCACCTTACTTATACACCCATTGTACGCATTATGTTCGACACCTAATTTATACACCCGTAGTAGGCATTCTGTCCACCACCTTACTGATACACCCGTAGTAGGCATTCTGTCCACCACCTTACTGATACACCCGTAGTAGGCATTCTGTCCACCACCTTACTGATACACCCGTAGTAGGCATTCTATCCACCACCTTACTGATACACCCGTAATAGGCATTCTGTCCACCACCTTACTGATACACCCGTAGTAGTCATTCTATCCACCACCTTACTGATACACCCGTAGTAGGCATTCTGTCCACCACCTTACTGATACACTCGTAGTAGACATTCTGTCCACCACCTTACTGATACACCCGTAGTAGGTATTCTGTCCATCACCTTACATATACACCCGTAGTAGGCATTCTGTCAATCACCTTACTGATACGCCCATAGTAGGCATTCTGTCCACCACCTTACTGATACGCCCAAAGTAGGCACTCTGTCCACCACCTTACTGATACATCCGTAGTAGGCATTCTGTCCATCACCTTACTGATACACCCGTAGTAGGCATTCTGTCCACCACCTTATTTATACACCTACATGTATAGTAGGCATTCTGTCCACCACCTTACTGATACACCCGTAGTAGGCATTCTGTCCATCACCTTACTGATACACCCGTAGTAGACATTCTGTCCACCACCTTACTGATACACTTGCGGCAGGTTCGGCATGAAGGGGACTGTTGGGCTGAATGTGTTATCCATGGTAAACTGCTGCCGGCACCCAGTACACTAAGGGAGTCATTACCCATTTTCCGGCATATACGTGCGTGTAATTTTTAGTGTGTGTCTATGTATGTATGTGTGGGTGGGTGTTACAGCGGGCGATCGATGTGACTGATATTGACAAAAAATCGAATTAGATCGAATATTAACATGGTGTGGATTGAAATTCAAGTGTACTAAACCTGGATTTGCACGATTGTACATGTCAATCATCTATGGTAACACAATATGCAGCCAACAACACTGATCTACTATTGTAAGGATACTGTTCGACGCCCGAATTTTTACAAATAAATACGTCAACAATATTAACTTCACCGAATTTGTTATTATTCATTAACGCTCACACACACGCGCGCGCGCACGCACGACAAACACGTTGGAAACAAACGCACACAAATTTCCTTTATCAATCAAATACCACGGAATCACGCAATTCATTAATATTTCTGCTGCCTGGCAATTCTTGAACTAAGATATGATAATTCCGAAAAGAAGCTGGGAAATCTTGGTCACTGACTCGCAACGGTATGTTGTACAAATGTCCCAAACGGTCGGGAATTAAAGTGTCCTGTCTCAAACACTGTCACTCTCATTCTGAGTCGCATGTAAAATCTCTTAACATCTACACATCTGACAAGGATCTCTGCGGACGACTGGCACACATTTTGGACCCAAACATAAATTGTTCCAAATTGCATGGCACATTTTGTGTCAACTTTGTAGTAAATCTTCAAACACTGATTTCCATTGTCTATTGTCTTTCTAAATCAACATTTGAAGATCCCTTATAAATAACTGGGATTGGTGTGAAAGCATCGTGTAGAAGAACTGAGGATTTTCAGTTACGTCACAGGTCGAAACATATTTGATTTTGATTCCAGCATCAGTAAAACACTAGATGAGTCTTAAATTCGCCATCAGTTACAAAAATGTTTTCCCATAAACACGTGAATGATCCAGACCGGAAGTGACCAGAGCAACGCGGACAGCCATGGATTACAAAACTATTTTCCCATAAACTGCTAACGTGACGTTATATTTAAGCAATAAAGTGTGCTCTACCTCCATGTGTAGTGTAATAAAGCAGTCTTGCCCTGAATTGATATGACGTCAAAGCTTTAACTATAATAGTTCAGGGCCAAACGATATTCTATTTCACTACACATGGGGGTAGAGCAAACTTTATTTCTTAAATATAACGTCACGTTAGCAGTCTATGGGTAAACATTTCTGTGATCCATGGCTGCTCGCATTGCTCTGGTCACTTCCGACCTGGATCATCCACGTGGTCCTCCGCGGTTACCGTCCCCGTCGTCGCGGCATCGTATTCGCCGTGAAGGGGGCAGTACCTGTATATGCTGGGGACATGATATGACACGTCTGATGCCCTGATGTCTTTCTCGGAAATGTATGCCTCTATACTATTCATATAACCTGTGACGTTTATTGGTACAGTGAGTGAATGAGTGAGTGAGTTGGGTTTAACGCCGCTTTTAACAGTATTCCAGTTATATCACGCCGTGTCAGCTTAATGTGGGAGGAAAGCCCGAAGTGATGCAGGTCTCAGACGTTTACCACTTCGGTGAAACCCACGAGCACGGGTATGGTGCTGACAAACCTAGAAACATAATCAGGGCGAACCGGGATTCGAACCCACAATCATAGGTTTCTGGCGTGCCCAAGCGACGCAGCACTGCACAGCGAATCGCGGTGCCTTAGACGACTGGGCCACCCATGCCCCCTTATTGGTACGGTGTTAGTATTTTAACGAAACAACGAGAAAGCATTAATTTTGTATTTTCAACACCCATTACACATTGTCTGTGATTTTCAGATATTCCAATTACTTACTGACTGCCTTATAACGCATGGCTGTGTGACTGAGATGTATTCTCATTCTTTATTATTTATTCAGTAAGTTCATTGAGTACACCCACTACCATATCCTAATCAGTGGGATAGTTAGGGCTTCGGTTTTGATCTCTCGGCTGACATATTTTCAAGTATTTTTTTGTAGCAAAGTATTTCATTAAAAGTCACAGCCCGATCTATCCAAAACTATCTTTCAGTATGGCAAAAGGACGATAGGGTAACAAAGTGCTTCAAGCGTTCGCTAGTCACACCAAATGCCCGGGTTCAATTCCCCGACGTGGGTATAATCACAGGAGTCCGTATCTAAAAATAGACGCCCTCATGCATATTCATGACCATCTCCACACTCTTCAAGTCGTGGGTTATCAGTTGTGAGATCGGATCCCGTGAGCACGTGCGGTACATATCGTTGGGATTAGCTCCCTTGTCTTCATTCAGTCCGTATCATTCCGGAAGTAGTGCAAGTATGAAAGACGGACCCAGCTTCGTGTCCGATGCTTGTGTATATTTTAATTAAATTGTGATGTATAGGTGGGTGTTTTTATCGTACCAAACTGGCGAAAATGCCGTTCACAAGTTAGAAAAGCAATCGGTAACTGTAGTGTCAGTGTGGGTATATTTTTCTCGTTCGTAATAATTTGTTGAAAAATCGAGTCGGGCCCTGCAGTAGTTTTCTGTTGCAGTCCTTCTCGCCCTTCGGGCTCGCGTGTGGAGATGGTCATGAATATGCATGAGGGCGTCTATTTTTAGATACGGACTCCTGTGGTATAATGTTTGAAGCCCGTTTCTGCTGTCCCTCGTCCAGACATTAATGGGACATTGAAAAAAGCGACGTAAAACAAATGTCCAGACATTAATGGGACATTGATAAATGCGACGTAAAACAAATGTCCAGACATTAACGGGACATTGATAAAAGCGACGTAAAACAAATGTCCAGACATTAATGGGACATTGATAAAAGCGACGTAAAACAAATGGTTTGTGGGTGTCTGCAGAATTGTCTACAAACACTGAAGCTTAATGTCATCCCTTGAAGCAAACTTCAAACTGTTCAATAATAAAATATAAGACTAAAGCTTGGCTATAAATGCTTATTTATTGGTTACATCCTGACAGGACATTCTGTTCTGATTTTGTAGTATTGGTACGAAAAACCTTCTTTCGGAATGATAAGTGTCATCGTACTCCGGCGGCTTAGACCATTGTTCCAAATGAATCACTGGTTTGTCTGGTCCTGACTCGATTATTTACAGTCCATCTTCATTTAGCTAGACAATAGGGACACGACGTTTAAGAACGTACATTATGATTGATGTTGACATAATGAATTTCATAACAAAGTGTCCTAATGACAGGAAATAGAATAGATCTAAAACCACAAGCGGGGTTTTTGTGGACATAGAACTTTCTGAAGCCAACATCATGGATATCCTTTAAGATCTTCAAGGTCTTTGTGCAACTATCTCTGTTACCGCAACCCCCATGGTATTCTATCAGCAACTGTTTGACTTTGAAGAGCTCCCCAGATGACATCATTTCCGGCAGTGACGGCCACTCAGCACTTTCAACGTCGGCCTTGAGGACATCTATCACCTTCTAAATATAAAATTCGAAATAATTTATAGGTACTCACAAATCATTTCGATCTTGTGCATTTTAAGAGATGCATGGAACAGATATTTATAACATGGAAAGTGCCATTTGCCATTTGTTCATTTTAAGAGATGCATGGAACAGATATTTATAACATGGAAAGTGCCATTTGCCATTTGTTCATTTTAAGAGATGCATGGAACAGATATCTATAACATGGAAAGTGTCATTTGCCCAAGAAAGACAACAACTGAAGCAAAGAGGAAGTTTATGTAGTGAGACTGGCGTGAACAAACTTTCATTCCATAAGAGAAGAACCTTTACGGGTAAGTATGTCACAAGGATACAAGGGGCCACAATGAGATCTTTCACATTGTCATTGTCACAAAATAGAAGTAACAAAACCCTTTCCATGTTCATAAGAAATCGATTCCGACTATATCATTAGCATGTGTTTATGAATCACTATCAAATGGTGAATGTTTCCTTTGAAAATGATATATTGTTACCACATAAAATATCCGATCTTATGTTTCAATTTCGACAGTCTTTGCCCGATTTGTAACTCAGGTACAGTTGGAGATGAATATCACTATATGTTCGTGTATAATATATATACATGTATTAAGTTGTTCAAGAAACGTGTAACTGTCACACTATTGTCGCATAAATCCTAACTTAAAGTTTACAGTGAGTGAATGAGTGAGTGAGTTGGGTTTAACGCCGCTTTTAACAGTATTCCAGTCATATCACGGCGTGTCAGCTTAATGTGGGAGGAAAGCCCAAAGTGATGCAGGTCTCAGACGTTTACCACTTCGGTGAAACCCACGAGCACGGGTATGGTGCTGACAAACCTAGAAACAATCGGGACGAACCGGGATTGGAACCCACAATCATAGGTTTCTGGCGTGCCCAAGGGACGCAACTCTGCACAGCGAATCGCGCCGCCTTAGACGACTGGGCCACCCGTGCCCCCCGTTCACGACCAGAAAGCTAGACAGTCCCCATATAAGCCGGTCCGTCTTTTCTCTACTTTGTTGTCAGCAGCTTTTTATACCAGTTTTGCAAGTGCATTTTGTTCTGTGAATGCAGACGTCATTTTCGCAAAATGCACGTAATGCACGTTTTTCATGAATATTTACACTTTCTCACGCTTTATTTTATCGAATACATTTTTCACCACGATTTCATGTCTATGTTTAGCATCATAAAGAAAAAGGATAACAATTCTTGGTGTACTTTCTTTTGGGCGTCGGAATATAATTTGAAAATAAGTTGCAGTAAGCAACAAGTCATTTAATATGATTCCGTTATGGGAGGTGGTGAGGTCTTGGATTTGTTCAAAACATACTTTTCTTTAAGTCTTTGAATGGCATTTGGGAACCAAAGTTATTAATAAGAACATCCAGGACCCAACGGTGGTCTAGCAACCAATTATTTCTTTCATGTGTTATCTTGAACAAATTATTCCTGGCGATAAATACATGTGAACTAATTTTTTTATCCTTTCATGACACATAAGTAGTGCTGAATTTGACGGGTCTTCTACCGCTGATCATAGATGTTGATCATGACTGAGAGTCAGGGGCAGCAAATGCTCATACTCCCCAAAGCGTGTTGTCCTTTCTGATCCAGGTATGACCCAAGGGGCATTAGGGGGGGTCTGGTAGCCTAGTGGTTAAAGCGTTCGCTCATCACGCCGAAGACCCGGGTTCGGTTCCCGACGTGGGTACAATGTGTGAAGCCCATTTCTGGTGTCCCCCGCCGTGATATTGCTAGAATATTGCTAAACCTCACTCACTCACTCCCAAAGGGGCATTAGGGGTAGCGCATGCCGAACTATGGGTAACCCACCTCGTAGTATTTTCCTTTTCGGATCGAACTTTGACTAATATAACAACACTTCAAATTGATAATGTCACTACCTACCCCTGTGTGGTTCAGCATTTTCTTGAAACTACGAAGTGTGTGAAGTTCCCACGCTCCATTGCGTTTGTCAGTCCCACTGATCCCTATCTTCAGAAACCGAACATGCTTGGACCTCTGGTGACTGGCCTGTTTCATGCTGAAAAAAAACAAGACGCAGTTTAGTTGAAGGTTCATATCCAAACAGGTGCTAAGGCGGCAGTTGTCAGGGGAAGAAAAATTAATGAGTTGTGACCTGCTTGATTGTGTGTGATGGAGTTGGACAACGTGGATAAGTGCTCATGTAATCAACCATGACGTCCTGGAAGTACACGAGTCTGAACACCCCAGTGATTTAAATTGTGATGCGCTCCGTTTGGGCGCAAAGACAAACAATGACCCAATTCACTGAGTCTGACCGCCAGTTCCATTAAGTCGCCTGTTACAACAAGCAAAGACAACTGGGGATGAGATCTAACATGCAATATACACTGGGTATACGCAACAATGTTAATATTCACATAACAGGGACTCACCTTGGATCAAAAGAAAATATGTCACATTCATAGGATTTGGCTGTATCGTCGTCGAAGGAAAAATCACCGTTGATTCTGAAATGGGTACAAAAAGATGAGTAACCTGTAGCGTCGGAGAGAGCAAGTAGAGATGGCTAAAGCAATTTATTACTTGCCCGTGAAGAGATCACCCGTTTAATAAACATACAGCTTTATTACACATTGTGTAATACCAAAACGCGTGCTTATGTACTTTCGGAACACGTTTCACGAACAAATATTGAAAACTCTCAACATCCCTTGGCGTATTCAACGACATTGTGGTTGGAGATGATAGATCACTGGGAGGAGCTTATGCACACTCGATGACCCCAGCAACCTTGTTGCTAGGCTGACGTCACATGGCATTGTTTCGCCGATGGATCTTGCAACAAAATTCAACAAATTACCTCATCGGGTATTGTGACGTGATTGTAAACTTTGAGGTGCAAGGCCCCGTTCCACAAGGCGATCGTACTCTAGCGCAACGACAGTCGTTAGTCTAAGTTAAATTATGTGAGTTGTGATAGCCTTAGCACTACGATAATTTTGTGGGACGAACGCCTGAATTCTAAAGGTGGACCATTGTATGATATTAAATTCATACGTTTCAACTTTTGACGTGTTTGAAGTATTATTCTGTTAAACTCAATTGGATTATGCCATGGATCGTGTAGGTGTCAGCCTATTTACACTCAGCAGTATAATTTTAAAAACATTATAAATGACAAGTAATAAATAAAATACTAAACTCGCTCTCGTGTAAAACCAATTTTATTAAATTCGTGAATAGTTGTGGTATCTGACTCGCTTTCGCTCGTCAGATACCAGAACTATTCACTCGTTTCATAAAATTGGTATTACACGGGAGCTCGTTTAGTATTCTATATATCTCCATCATTATATGTCGTGCCCATGTGACGGTGCTTGATGGACGAATTCGCTGCTACACTAGAGCCACAAACTCAGGTTGGACATTGAACCTGTGCATGGTGCGGTAAACACCGCCAATTATTCCAATAACTATACTGTAAGCGTTTGCCGATTTAAGAGGGTCGGCCACTGCCTTGGCCACAATCAAACTCGGCAAAGTTCGTGTGTTTTTGAACATGCTGACAGCCCGAGGATAACAAATTTTGTTTACCTTACAAATAGTGCCCTTAGAAACAGTATTGGCCTGACATTGCCAAGGCATATCCTGTGAAATGGTGCTTTCAATAGCAGATTTATTATTCACCATCCATACTAGCTCCGGGCAAAACGGGGGCACGGGTGGCCCAGTCGTCTAAGGCGCCGCGATTCGCTGTGCAGAGTTGCGTCCCTTGGACACGCCAGAAACCTATGATTGTGGGTTCGAATCCCGGTTCGCCCCGATTATGTTTCTAGGTTTGTCAGCACCATACCCCTGCTCGTGTGTTTCACCGAAGTGCTAAACGTCTGAGACCTGCATCACTTCGGGCTTTCCTCCCACATTAAGCTGACACGCCGCGATATAACTTGAATACTGTTAAAAGCGGTGTTTAACCCAACTCACTCCGGGCAAAACAATCAGTATTTAGATGATTGGACACTCCACAATAACCCCATTTTCATTTGAACGACCTTGTCGATTCAGAAAAGGAAGACGGACCAATCTTGTTACAACTTGAACTAGCCACAACCGATTTCTTCCATTAGTACCTGTAAATCCCGATTTGTAAGAAGTTTGAAAGATTTCCCTGGCATCTTACCCTCTTTTTGCCGACATGTGGCTGACTAATATTAGACTTAAACGAGGGCATAATTACAATTGTCAGCAATAAGCAATGCGTCTTGTAAGGAGACAATCGTTTGCTCCTCCAAATGCATCCTGAGACTAGTAGACATACAGCTCTTTATGACTTTCTCTCTTAATGGGGAGCGAAAGGTTTTAACTAGTTTTAACTATGTCACTTTGACCCAACTGCCCCACTTACAAACAACATTATGGTGTGTTGCGGTCAAGCAAAGACTGACTCAGATCGCATCAACAGAATCGTAAAACAGGTTTACAATCGTACAAAGTGTGTGTCAGTTGCACAGAGTAACAGGGGCGATGGGATAGCCTACTGGTTAAAGTGTTCGCTCGTCACGCTGAAGACCCGATTTCGATTCCCCACATGGGCGCAATGTGTGAAGCCCATTTCTGGTGTCCCCCGCCGTGATATTGCTTGTATATTGCTAAAAGCGGCGTAAAACCATACTCACTCACTCAGTTGCACAGAGTAACGGGGGTGGTCGGGTAGCCTAGTGGTTAAAGTGTTCGCTCGTCACGCTGAAGACCCGATTTCGATTCCCCACATGGGCGCAATGTGTGAAGCCCATTGATATTGCTGGAATATTGCTAAAAGCGGCGTAAAACCACACTCACTCACTCACAAAGTAACAGTCCCTACAATAAATGGCAGTGCACTCACGAATGTCAAGAATTAGGTCTCTGTCTAATGTCTAAAATGTGGTACGTGTTCCGTTTTGAATCCTGCAAACAAGTTCTCAATAACCTATGGACAGGAAGTCGGAGTTTTCCCCTTTGTATCCCGTCTGTGCTGGGCAAGTAGAAAAGATGCAAGTGAAGATGTAGTTTGCGTCGAACCACCATTATTTACTCTCATATAAGCACAGCCAGCCTTCTAGAAACTGTCGCTTCACGGGACTGCTCGAACGATCATGTCTGTTTTGTTTACACACAAAAACACAACTAAGGGAGGTAACTCTAATTACTAGCTGCCAAAGCGTGAAATTTTACCAGCTCTTCAACTGCTGCCATTCAGAATTATCCTCCAACAATTTCTGCTGCCACATGACAATATTATATACATGGATATTGTCAAACTTACCCAAAGGAATATACAATGCAAGGTTTTACTGGACGGTACTCCTTGTCGTCGCATATCTCCCATCCGCCATCTCCGATATTGCCCATTCGCAACTTCCGGTGACATACGGTGTCAATGTTGTCAAGGTAACTAAATTTTGTATGAATAAGTCAAAAATTAATAGACATTACACATGCATACACTCACGTGCTTTTCATGCTATTACTAATATCGAAGTTACAAATATACGAACAGTAGATATGTCAACTATTGCAAATACATTGATCTATGATGTGGGAGCATTCCTTATCCAGATTGGTTTTGCATGTACATGTGGTATAAAATCACATTAATGTGATGTATATTACAGACCACAGGGCATATAACACACAGAGAGACTCTGTCTCTCTCTCTCTCTCTGTCTCTCTGTCTCTCTCTCTGTCTCTCTGTATCTCTCTCTCTGTCTCTCTGTATCTCTCTCTGTCTCTCTGTCTCTGTCTCTCTCTGTCTCTCCCTCTGTCTCTCTCTCTGTCTCTCTCTCTGTGTCTCTCTCTCTGTGTCTCTCTCTCTGTGTCTCTGTCTCTCTCTGTGTCTCTCTGTCTCTCTCTCTCTCTGTCTCTCTCTCTCTGTGTCTCTCTCTCTGTCTCTCTCTGTCTCTCTGTCTCTCTCTCTCTGTGTCTCTCTCTCTGTGTCTCTCTCTGTGTCTCTGTCTCTGTGTCTCTCTGTATCTCTCTCTCTGTCTCTCTGTCTCTCTCTCTGTATCTCTCTCTCTGTGTCTCTCTCTCTGTGTCTCTCTCTCTCTGTCTCTCTGTATCTCTCTCTCTGTCTCTCTGTCTCTCTCTCTGTCTCTGTCTCTCTCTGTCTCTCTGTCTCTCCCTCTGTCTCTCTCTCTCTGTCTCTCTGTCTCTCTCTCTCTCTCTCTGTGTCTCTCTCTCTGTGTCTCTCTCTCTGTGTCTCTGTCTCTCTCTCTGTCTCTCTCTGTCTCTCTGTCTCTCTCTCTCTCCCTGTCTCTCTCTCTCTCTCTCTCTGTCATGCTTTTACAAACTTACCTGTGATACGTTCTGAAGGCGGCCTCGGCTGACATTCTCTCAATCTCACCCTTGGACGGGAGGACAACCTGAATATGCACACAGCACATGATAAATGTAACATGACATATAATTCAATATCAACGCTACATTTTGAGGATCCGGTGCGTATGTATATACACGTAATTGGACTTTCACAAACATATTTCAGTTTGTACATCACATTGTATATGTAATAAAACGGTTATCACGCGAGTGTGTTTGGGAATGGTAAACATTGTATTTAGCGAACGTCAAAAGCGAGATAAATACATCGTGTGTATTCCTCAGGAATTCAAAGTGGAAGGAAGACCCGGGTTCGAATCCCGACATAAGTACAATGTGTGAAGCCCATTTCTGGTGTCCCCTGCCGTGATATTGCTGGAATATTGCTAAAAGCGGCGTAAAACCAAACTCACTCACTCACTCGTAGTGGAAGGTGTGAAGTCTATGATACAAAACAACACCTTCTATTTTGATGGTCAGCTTCACAGGCAAACTAAGAGAACTACAATGGGGACTAAGGCGGCTCCAACGTATACGACCTTGGTTTTGAGACACTTGGAAAGTACACTTTTGAGGACAGAGAAGGGACCGGAAGTTGCTGATTATTTATGAGAATATCGGCGATGATTCTTTAATGCCTGTTTAATGGAATGGCCATTTCCATGACAAGGTTTTAAAACTCTTAGCATTCTAAATTATATGAATAAACATTATTATGGATTCTAGTAAGTTCCATTTTAGTCACTTTGGTGAAACATCGGGGAATTGTAATTTGATATAAACATGTTAATGAATAGTCATTTTATCTTAAAGCTAACACTGTATTTACCCTTAAATTCTCACGTTTTATATGATATAATCAGTTGTTCCACACGTTTTTAAATATTGTAATGACCGAATATTAAAGTGTTGACTTATTTCGATAAGTATTGTAAATAAAAGAGATAAAACCCTTTTCGTATTCATAAGAAATCGATACCAACAACAGAGTGGACTGTACAATTCCGACTACATCATAAGCATGTGTTTCTGAATCACTATCAAATAGTGATGACACCAGGTGTTTATGAATCACTATCAAATAGTGATGCCACAATGTGTTTATGAATCACTATCGTATAGTGATGACACCAGGTGTTTATGAATCACTATCGTATAGTGATGACACCAGGTGTTTATGAATCACTATCAAATAGTGATGACACCATGTGTTTATGAATCACTATCGTATAGTGATGACACCAGGTGTTTATGAATCACTATCCTATAGTGATGACACCAGGTGTTATGAATCACTATCATATAGTGATGACACCAGGTGTTTATGAATCACTATCAAATAGTGATGACACAATGTGTTTATGAATCACTATCGTATAGTGATGACACCAGGTGTTTATGAATCACTATCATATAGTGATGACACCAGGTGTTTATGAATAACTATCATATAGTGATGACACCAGGTGTTTATGAATCACTATCAAATAGTGATGACACCAGGTGTTCGCGGGAAGGTGAGCGTATCCTGTCCCACCGGTGGTATCCATCACAAATACATGCAAAGGCAAGTAAAAATTAAGAAGTAACGTGGCACATAGCCTGTCCCTTTATACCATTATCCTGATAATTTGATACAAAATGAGCTTTTTTGCATAATTCTGAGACGAAATGAAGACAAGAAAATACAAATAGTGAACAAATACATGTCCAATATTAAATAATATATTTGCTTGTTTTGAAATATGCTTTTGACTATTTGATTTATGTAACGAAGTGCCTAACAGTTTCTTATCGCGTCCAGTTCGTATACACTACCAGCCAATCTATTTGTGTAGAGATTCAAGACATTATTTACATGGTAAACTATTCATTTTTAGTTGTCTAAAAAGCGCCAAATTCTGTTTTATAAATCGCGATTCTTCATTCTATGAACAACAAATAGGTGGAATGTATTTATCTATTAATATTCTAATGTCGTGTTTCTCTAACGTCGTCAAAGTCTTAAAACAATTCATCATGTAACTCACTAAATGTGGACTAGGACTTGAACTCTTTGACCAACTGGGGCGGTCTGGTAGCCTAGTGGTTAAAGCGTTCGCTCGTCACGCCGAAGACCCGGGTTCGATTCCTGACATGGGTACAATGTGTGAAGCCCATTTCTGGTGTCCCCCGCCGTGATGTTGCTAGAATATTGCTAAAAGCGGCGTAAAACCGTACTCACTCACTCACTCACGCTTTTACCATCTGTGGTGCATCAGTTAAATTACACTTACACAATCAGGTGAATGCAGGCACCTGTCTTCGAACAATTTGCCAGTTGAATAAACAGGAATAATGTCATTTCTAACAGGAGAATGTAGAGACATAAATACGTTCAGTCGACATGAATGAGAACTTAGCCAAACATCGAAGTACACTGTTCAAACTGACCCGAGCCTTTAAAGCAAAACAACTTATCTTTTCCACGCGGACTTCCGATGACCGATAGTACGTGGAATGAGAACACGGTGTCATTGGGTTGCAAACGACACCGTGCTAGTCTGACCCGGACAGATACCGTTACATTACACTACACTTGTACCCTGACATGTATAGCTCAGGTCATCAGTGATTCACGCTGCGATGTAACAGTGTTGAGTTCGGATCCACGGATCCACCAAAGCAAAACTTCACGTATCTGTTGTTGCTGGTAGTTATATCATGTACGATAACTTTTAATATAATCTTGCCATTATCTGTACTTTCTGCCAGACCCGTGAAGATCCGGGGTAGAATAGGTCTTCAGCAACCCATGCTTGCCGTAAAAGGCCACGACGCTTGTTGTAACGACCTCTTGTGTAAGAGGCGACCAACGGGATCAGGGCGTCAGGCTCGCTGTCTGATTGTCTGGTCTAGATTCGATTATTTACAGACCGCTGTCACACAGCTTAAATATTGCTGAGTGCGGCGTTACACCAAACAAACAAACAACAACTTTCTGCATTCGTACTGAAACATTCCTGTAACCTTTTCCTGCTGTTTCTGGTGTACAGAGTTTAATGTTGACTAACTACCCTTGCCATCCTTCCATGCAGTTATGTTATTATTGTTGGCGTTCCCGATCATACAGCCACACTCCTACGTGAAGTAACTATATCTTCATGGTACCCAGTGCGTAATCATACAATTCAACACCGAGTGGTGATCGGGGTTTTCAAATGTATTTTCAAATGTATTTTGTGTCAAAATAACCTGCGTTGCATACATAAATTCAGTATATGTCAAACATGTAGTAATTTATTCAATGAAGCTTTTCTCAGCGTATGTTACAAATTTTGGAATATATTTCATGTCAAAAGCCGAGCTTGCAAGGTGCATTTCTGTTTCACACAAGTCGATATCAGAGGTGCAAATGTGATTGTTGTATTGTTATTGTTGTTTATGGATTGTCACTCCTTGTCAATGCCTGTCACTGTACTGTCTCCGCCTGTCATTGTCTGTCACCGCCTGTCACTGTACTGTCACCGCCTGTCACTGTACTGTCACTGCCTGTCATTGTCTGTCACCGCCTGTCACTGTACTGTCACTGCCTGTCACTGTACTGTCACCGCCTGTCATTGTCTGTCACTGCCTGTCACTGTACTGTCACCGCCTGTCATTGTCTGTCACTGCCTGTCACTGTACTGTCACCGCCTGTCATTGTCTGTCACTGTATTGTCACTCCTTGTCAATGCCTGTCACTGTACTGTCGCCGCCTGTCACTGTGTGTCACTGTGCTGCTACTGCCTGTCACTTTACTGTCACTGCCTGTCACTTTACTGTCACCGCCTGTCATTGTCTGTCACTGTATTGTCACTCCTTGTCAATGTCTGTCACTGTACTGTCACCGCCTGTCACTGTCTGTCACTGTACTGCTACTGCCTGTCACTGCCTGTCACTTTACTGTCACTGCCTGTCACTTTACTGTCACTGTCTGTCACTTTACTGTCAATGCCTGTCACTGCCTATCACTTTACTGTCACTGCCTGTCACTTTACTGTCACTGCCTGTCACTGCCTGTCACTGTTACTGTACTGTCACTGTACTGCTAATGCCTATCACTTTCTGTCACAGACTATCACTGCCTGCTACTGTCTGTCAATGCCTGTCACTGTGCTGTCACCGCCTGTCACTGTCAGTCACTGTCTGTCACTGACTATCAATGTCTGTCACTGTCTGTCAATGCCTGTCACTTTACTGTCACTGCCTGTCACTTTACTGTCACTGTCTGTCACTTTACTGTCAATGCCTGTCACTGCCTATCACTTTACTGTCACTGCCTGTCACTTTACTGTCACTGCCTGTCACTGCCTGTCACTGTTACTGTACTGTCACTGTACTGCTAATGCCTATCACTTTCTGTCACAGACTATCACTGCCTGTTACTGTCTGTCAATGCCTGTCACTGTGCTGTCACCGCCTGTCACTGTCAGTCACTGTCTGTCACTGACTATCAATGTCTGTCACTGTCTGTCAATGCCTGTCACTTTACTGTCACTGCCTGTCACTGCCTGTCACTGTCACTGTACTGTCACTGTACTGTCACTGTCTGTCACTGTACTGTCACTGTGCTGTCACAGCCTGTCACTGACTGTCACTGTCTGTCACTGTACTGCCACTGCCTGTCACTGCCTGTCACTGTACTGTCACTGTCTGTCACTGTCTGTCACTGTACTGCCACTGTACTGTAACTGCCTGTTACTGCACTGCAGTCCCAGCCATGAAATTATGATATATAAGTAATGATATATTCCTTGTGTACACTTACCAATCCTTCATTGCGAATGTATTTGAGTGGCGAATTGTCATTGCCATCAATTTTATCAACCCTTGCTTGCCTTTCTGGTGGGACAATATCATGCGATTCCTTCTTTTGAGCCTGAAATACATAATTATTTTAGAACTTTCTCACAATATCCACACTTGAATAAATACTTCCACTTGATAAAACAATTGTACATCTTTGATTCAGCAACCCATGCTTGCCGTAATAGACGCCTATGCTTGTCGTAAGAGGCGACTAACGGAATCGGGTGGTCAGGCTCGCTGATTGCGTAGATCGATGCTCATGCTGTCAATCACTGGATTGTTTGGTCCAGGCTCGACTATTTACAGACCGCCGTCATGTAGCTGGAATATTGTGTGGCAAACAACAAACAAACAAAACATCTTTGAATAAACATATGAAAAGGGAGATGTCACAAGAAAAAGATGCAGGTTTAACATTTGGACAAAAGTAATCTCGAACTGGTCTTTATGTTACCAATATTATGTTTTTATTAAAATTCATCCTTGTTAAAACTAATTTCTAAAACAACTGGACAGGAAACAAAAGGCTTATGACAAACACCGTCACACTGGTAGCATATGTCTGTAACATATAAACTCAATACCTGTACACAACTGATATCTTTCTGATAGAGTGAGTGAGTGAGTTGGGTTTAACGCCGCTTTTAACAGTATTCCAGTTATATCACGGCGTTTTTCTGTTAGATGAGAACATGAATTGTATTAAACAGTGATCAATAAATGCGTTTAATTTGAATTGCCGAAATAGATATACAAAAATGGTCCTGGTTGGTAGATAATATTTATTGAAATATAGAAGTATTTCAATGTTATTCAAGTACACGAGTGGCCAAGTCGTTTAGACGCAGTAATTCGCCTCATACGTTCCAGGAACCTGTGACCGGTGGCTCGAATCTAAGATTTATTTTGTTTGTCAGCAGTATAACCACACTCGTGGAATTCACGTCCACTGGACCCGTGAAGATTCCGGGGTAGAAGTCTTCAGCAACCCATGCTTGCCGTAAAAGGCGACTATGCTTGTCGTAAAAGGCAACTAACGGGATCGGGTGGTCAGGCTCGCTGACTTGGTTGATGCATGTCATCGATCCCAATTGCGTGGATCGATGCTCATGACATTAATCACTGGATTGTCTGGTCCAGACTCGATTATTTACAGACCACCGTCATATAGCTGGAATATTGCTGAGCGCGGCGTTAAACAACAAACCAACCAACCAATCACGTCCACTGATCAACTACAGAAAGCTGCATCACTTTGGTTTTTTCCCCATATCAAGTTCACATGATATAACTGAAATCCTGAAAGCGGTATTAAGGCATATTCAACTCACTCACTCACTCGTACGCAATGGCGTTCAAACTTGGAATCGTCGTTTGTAGCTCTTATTTACCTGTATCTGCTTGTGTAAATTGCTTGTTTGAGGAATGGCCCCCGCCTTATGCATTGACGAAGCCATCTTGTGGACGTTGCTGTTAACTGACTCCCACACCTGGAGTTACACACGGAGTAGAATTAAGAATTGACTTCATTATACCTTCATGATGGAGGAGACCGCCTCCGTGGTCTAGTGGTAGGGCGATTCCCGTCCGAGTCATACCAAAAGACGTTAAAAGATGGTACATGTTGTTACCCTGTCTGGCGCTCGACATTAAGGGTCTTAAACAAGGACTGGTCGGCTTGGAGTCAGTATACTGTGTCTGAGTGGGGTATTCATGTTCAACCGCGGCATGGTATCTCAGTGGGCTAGCACTATAAATCGGCATCAGTCCGGACTAATACAAGCAGCCACACACACACGTGCATGCACGTCGCTGTATGAGTGCAATAATCTTGGACGCGACGTTAAACCCCATTTCACCTCACCTCATAACTGTCCACATCTAGCTATGTTTCTCTCCTATTCTAATTAATACAATGGTCTGATGTGTCAATTCGAGCTGACAGACAGTTTAGTGTGGGTACAGCACTTTGACACGCCACGAACAGCTGTAAGACAGTGACAGACCGAGTATCACAATGGGGCGAATAAGGATCGGTAACTCTTTGTCTTCGGTGATTGTGTGCAACATCTGGCCTCCCTATCACCATCACAATTCCAGAGATCGGTAGATATTAACACCTAATACGTTAAGGAACAACAGATGTCAGTGAATATGCATTATAACACAATAGGCCAACGTAGCAGTAGGTCTATAATTATATAGAATTGACTACTAGTATTATAGTCCATTGGCCAGAGCACATATCGGTACCACCTGGGGTGGCAAAACCTAAGTGGTACTAACATGTATATAGGGTCAATACAAGTGCAAAATGATATGATAACCTTTCCGCAGAAGTAGCTTATTACTACATTTCCACATACCTCGGATTTCACACTTTGCACTATAGCGTAAGTTCTTAAACATAAGACACAAACTAGTTTTATTTCAGATAGCAGCTGGAATTGATCTAAATCAGTGTAAGAAAGGCTGTAGAAAAATTTGCAATGAATAAAAAAATACATGGCAAATACATTATTGTCCGCCTTCATTGGCTGGGCCAATGCCACAGGGTACCCTGCCTGAAGTCAACAAGAAGTCCAAGAAGAGGAGCATCAGCCCTGCCCCTCTGATGCTGCCAGCTGGGAAGCGAGCAGGTCCACCAAAGACTGAGACTCTGGATGTTAACTCCACTAGAGAAGCCCGCGGCGCCCAGGTGAAGAATCACATTTCGCTCCTGACTCGCATAGCAGACCCCACGAGCCAGACAGTCAGCAGCTGGACTGGATTCAATATCCTGACCCGCAATGATGTCATTGTTGCTCAAGATACTGTGAGCTACCTGCCCACCATCAATGCTCCTGCAACAAACATGTCCACTGTGAATGAAGTGCTGGCGCAAACACTTCGCATCATGCAAGTCCTGCAGCTGAATAAGATTGTGTGTGTGTTCGACCAAGCACTCTACGCCAAGGCTGCGGAGATAGTGTGGAAACACGAGAAGTTCAAGAACATAATCATCAGGATAGGGGTCTTCCACACAATCTACAACCTCCTCGCCATCATAGGGAAGAGATTTCAAGATGCAGGGCTCAGAGATCTGTGTGTTGAATCAGGGGTGATTGCAGACGGATGGATAGCTGGTGTCATGAAAGGGCGCAGGTACAACCGGGGAGTTAGACTACACAAGCTTGTGTATGAAGCACTGATGAGGCTTGCATGGAAAGGCTTTCTCCAATGGTTGCAAAACAACCATATCCACGATCCTCACCACCTAGACGAAACCCTGCAGAGGATTGTCGACTTCCGATGCCAAGCTTCACTCCTGAACCTACTTGAAGATCACTCCTGCAGGAGGATCTTGGAGCTGTTCCAATCTTACCTGAACTCCCTCAGAGAACACAGCCTTCTGGATGTCTTATGTAGATATGTTCGAAATCATGCTGGGCCTCATTCGGTCTTCTCGAGAGGGTGACTGGATGCTTCTTTTGGCAGCCATCCGACAGATGATTCCCTGGTGCTTCTCCTGTGACAAGCTCAACTATGCCGGCTTCCTGACCTACTACTATGCCACCATGTCTCGGCTGCCCATCGAACACCCTGAAGTCAACAAGCACTTCATGCAGGGCGGGTTCTCAGTCCAGATTGGTTGTCAAAACCCCTTCGGGCGGATCCCTGTTGATCAGACGATTGAGGAGACCATCAACAAGGACACACAGATACCTGGAGGCACCAAAGGTTTCAGTCTGAAACCTGGCGCAGTTGCAAGACACTACCTGACATCAGAGTTCGGGAGCACCTACTTGAAGCAGCTGAGGGGTATGGTCCAAATAGGGCAACATGACTGCCTTAGTCATCCTGATCTGCAGCTCCCTGGATCAGATGAGACGAAGCTGACATCAAATCCCTCGTTCAGTTAATGGAGGCGAGCTGGTTCAATCCTTTCAACACTGACCAAAGAGAGCTTGTCAGTTTGTCTATTGCTACTGCTGCGCCGGAAGAAGTGTCCAAAGACCTACTCGGGGCTCGCAAGATAGGAGAAGATGCATACCAGACCTTCAAGCAAGAACGCTTAGAAGCATCTGACCCATCTGTACAGTTCCACGACAGGATGCAAAAGAAGAATCTGAAAACTTTCGCAGACATCAGAAAGAAGTCCCACAGCAAAGGCCAGGCCAAAGAATTGGTCCTGAAAGCTGACAGGAAATTATTTGGTCAGATGATCCTTGTAGCTGAGAGTCGAAAACTGCACATGAGTGTGGTACTGGCTCATCCTCTGAGGCCTCTGCCTCAGAAAACATTCGAACAGCTGGCAGAATCAGCGTTGTCCGTTGTTCTGTATGAAGGCAAGAAGAGCCAACGCATCGATGTCGTCTTTGACGTGTACAAGGAGACGTCCATTAAAGATGCAGAACGATGTGACAGGGGGTCAGACACAGGAATCCAATTCAGAAACATTGCACCTGGTCACAATATTCAGCAATGGAGAAAGTTACTGAGCAGCTCGTCTAACAAGACAAGACTGATCAAGTTCCTGGTGGAAGAATGGAAGAAAGCAAGACAAAGAGAGAAACTCGAGAACAAGGTACTGCATGTTTCCTGCGAAGACATCTGCTATAAGATGACCAAAGAAGAGTGGGAGGAGGCTGGAGAGCTGAAGTATTCTCAAGAAGAACCCGACACCCGCCTTCTGCTCCATGCTCTGCATGCAGCGGAGCATGGCTAAAAGAGTGTAGTCATCACTGTTGATGATACTGATGTCTTGGTCTTGACCTCGGGGTCAGCAGCAGTATTGCATGCCCAATATTTCAGAAACTGGGACGAAGAGCCGCACAATATACATAAACATTCGGAAGCTACACCAGGCACTGGGAGATGACGTCTGTAATGCACTCGTCGGCATGCACGCGTTCACGGGCTGTGATACAGTCAGTGCCTTTGCTGACCGGGGGAAGATGGCAACGTTGAAGAGGATTAAGTCAGACAAGACCTACCAGGAGGCCTCCAGTGAACTTGGTAGTTGATGGGAGGTATCAACGGAATTGTTCCAGGGGCTGCAGAAGATTACCTGCCAAATGTACTTGCCTTCTGCCCAGACGACTGAGGTGAACAGACTCAGACACCAACTCTTCTGTGCCAGACGAGGGGAGGTGGAGTCAAGCCAACTGCCACCTTGTGAAGACTGCCTGTTCATGCATGCTCTCCGTGCCAACTACCAGGCTGCCATCTTGAGGAGATGTCTGCAGACCCAGCCCATTGTCCCAAGGCCGAAGGAGTGTGGTTGGACAACAGAAGAGGACGGCAAGCTGACAATTCAGTGGATGCGTGGCTCACCTGCACCAGATGCCGTTCTCCAGCTGCTCTCCTGCAAATGTGTCCGCTCATGCAAACTGCCAGATTGTTTTTGCCTCACCAATGGCTTGAAGTGCACAGACATGTGTAAGCTACAAACCTGCACCAACCAAGCCAAGGAGGATGAACCACAGTTGGAGCTTTCAGATTTGTCAGACTCTGATGATGAGCTTGACGGTGATTAGGCCCAGTTACTCAACTATGGACACATAAAATTCAACCTTCAAGTCAATTTTCAAAGCAACTAGTGTTCTGATTGTGTGCCCAAGAGATTAACCATGGTCTCTATGATGTTTTTATTCCGTATGTACTCGTTTTATTGCCAGAGTAAATTACATTAACAAAATACGTGTTTATGGCTGTTGTTCCTAGGGTATGCTGATTTAATGGGTTATAACTACTATTAAGCTACCAATCTGCGATGGTTATCATATCAAAACATAAACTAGACATATATAGCATGTGAAAAATTGCCACTAGAATTTGCCACTCTGAGTGGTACCGATAAGTGAAATTTTCGGTCTTGGCTCATGGACTATTATTGACAATCATTAAAACTATTGCTATTGTTTAAACGCTGCATTATTTTCTTGAATGGACAGTTGTTTGTCAATCATACATTGTCCTAAACCAACATTTTAATCAATTTACACTTGGAACAGAAAGAACTACTTTTTTTATATTTTAACAAGTGTATGATTTAATACTTTGTCGGAAATCGTGTCGCCAATGGGTTTGAACCAGTGTCGTTTGATGTGAGGACGTCTAAGTTACGGAGTGAAATTAACTATTACATATTTTCGAATATTTGCATAACCCTTAATGACGGAACAAATAATATGTATATATTAAAGCAGTCATATTAAAGAGATTTGATAAACTTTGACGAGAAAGAAAATCAGGTGAACAAATTTATCCTTGCAAAGTGCAGTCGACTGAAAAAGACTAGTTTAGGACCCCGCGAAATTATGAAGAGCCGTGTATCATGCATTGTAAATGTCAGCTCGTGGCGGAGCTTGGTGCACGTTAAGCAAACGGCAGCGAAGGTATTCCTCGTGCATCACGGAAGGACGACTCACGCAGTATAAATGCAAACTACAGAGTTCTGGTGTATTTTTTATTTTTTTTGCACAAGAGAATGTTTTGTCAAAGTGTT